GCACCATGCACAAGTAGAAAGTGGCAGCATTATAACCCCTTTCCAGGACATCCCTGAAGAACAGGGGTGGGCAGAACTTTGGCCAATGTACCTGTTAATACATTTTGCCTGAAAGAAAAATGACCAGATGTACAGCTACATGCTGATTCATGGGCTGTAACTAGAAACTTACAATGAATATGACTAGAAAACTGGTGACAAAGATGTTTTGGGATGAGGTATGTGGACAGACCTCTCCCTATGGGCAAAGGATGTAAAGATACTTGTATCCCATGTGAACACTCATCAGAAAACTGACCTCAGCAAAAGAGGGCTTTAGCACAGAAATTTCTTATTTAACAACTGAACTCCAGTCCTGCCACTAAATCCTTAAGTGAACTGGTTGCTAAATAAAGAATTGTATATAGTATGTATGTTACAATATTCTGAACAAAGAAATGGTCAAAGGAAATTCCAACTTGATTTACTTTTACTTGCATGATTCTTTTTTAAATTTATTTTTAAGCTTTTTTTTGCATGATTATTTGTACTGTAATATATAACAGAACATAAACCTACCACACTATATAATTAACAAAAATTATAGTACTATATATGTAAGATATACTATACAAATAAAAAGACACTGAAGTTCTAAAAACAAATGTATAGAACTATACCAAAAAAAAAAAAGATGACCACAAGCCTGAATAATGTATCTTGGTCTCAGATCCAAACAAGTCATTAAACATGTAGGTTGTTAAAAGAGGAATGTCTGTAATTAAGTGGATAGATAGGACGACTCATTTTATTGAAGGCAGTCAACCTTTTTTTTTCAGCCACCCTTGTCATTGTCCAATGGGCTCATGAACAAAGTGGAGCAGAGATGGAGGTTAAGCATGGGCTCTGCAACACATACTCCCACTCACCAAGGCTGATCTGTCTATGGTCACTGCTGAATGTCCAACTCGCCAAGGCTGTACGCCTATGACCTGGTAGCTGGTTGATTGTATTAGACCACTTCCATCATCAAAAGGGAAGTACTTTGTTCTTATTGGTGTAGACACTTATTCTAGATATGGATTTGCCTCTTCTGTACTTAATGCTTCTGTCAAATCCATGGACTTACAGAATGCCTTATCCACCATCATCAAATTCCACACAGCACTGCCTCTGACCAAGGAGCACATTTTACAGCCAAAGAAGTGAGGCAATGGGCTCATGCTCATGAAATTTACTGGTTTTATCATGTTTCTCATCATCTAGAAGCAGCTGAATTGATAAGGTGGAATGGTCTTTTGAATATGCAGTTATAGTGCCAGCTGGGTAGCAATAGCTTGCAGGGCTGGGGCGAGGTTCTTCAAAAGGCTGTATATATTTTGAATCAGCATCCACAGTACCACATATACTCACAGGTACAGGAATAAAGGGGTGAGGTGGGAATGGTATCACTCACCATTATCTCCAGTGATCCACTAATGAAACTGTTGCTTCCTATTCTTTCAACGTTATGCTCTGCTGGTCTAGAAGTCTTTTAGTTCCAGATGGGAAAAGACTTGTACCAGGAGGCACAAAAATGATTAACCTAACTGAAAGTGAAGGCTTCCCATCATTCATTTTGGTCTCTTTATGCTTGTAAATAAACAAGCTAAAAACGGAGTTATGGTGTTGGTAGGGCTGCCTGATTCAGAATGTGAAGGGGAAATTGGACTACTATTCCAAAAAGTGGTGGAAAGGAAGAATACCTGAAGTGCAGAACTCTTGGGGTGCCTCCTACTATAATAATGCTCTGTTATTAATGGGAAACTACAACAATCCAATCCAGGCTGGATGACTGATGAATGGCCCAGAACCTTCAGGAATAAAGGTATGAGTCACCTCACCAGGGAGAGAACTAAGACCTGCTAAGGTGCTTCCTGAAGGCCAAAAGAACATAGAACTGGATAGGAAAAGGCAGTTCTAAATACCAGCTGTAACTCTGTGCTCAGTTATAGAAACAAGGATTTTAACTATAACAGTGCTCTCCTAATATGCATCCTATTTAATATAATGTTTATAGACTACTAGTTTTTAAGCATTTTTAAACCCACTTACAATGTTCAAGTTGTGAAATGTTAGGAGTAAGCATCACCTAAAGAAAACTTGCATTCTATTTAGACAATTAGGGCTCTTCCATTTGTATTCCAGACAGTTCTACAATGCTATGTGTAACTGTGAGCATGTCTTTGTATCTGGAGACTGAGCATATTTTAAGCAAGTACATCTGGTTGTCAAGCTGACAAGGGATGGATTATGATAGTTAATACTCATGTCAACTTGAGTAAGAAATGCTCAATTGATTGGATTACCATAGTCTTAGGTGTGGCTAGACGAACTTACTTAAAAGAGGAGACTCACCCTGGAGAGTGGCACCAATAGGATTGTACGGAATAAAAGGGAAAAAGTCTTGCTTCTGTCTCTTTAGAGGAGTTCCAGTCCTCACCTTGGCCTTAAGTGTCCGTCCTCTGGCTTCCAGCACAGACTCTTCAGCCTTCCAGCACAGAATCTTTGGACTCTGAATATGGACTCCCATGGAATTTATCACGAGTTCAGGTCTTCAACCTTTGACTAGATCCTTTGGATCTCCAGTGTACAAACAGCCCTTTGCATTCTTTCTACTCTGAGAGGTTTTTGTAAGCTTACTTTGTATACTGTCATATACCTTTAATATGTTAAAAGTCTGTTTCTTCAGTGAATACTGACTGATACCATTTGTTATGATCAGCCCATTTGTTATTTTGAGACAGGTTGCTAAGTCATTTAATTAACTGCCTAGGGTGAGCTTGAATTTGCAATCTGCTTGCCTTAGCCTCTGAACACTGTTACTCTCTTCTTTTTCAAGATTGTTTTGGTGATTCTGGACCCCTTGCACATTTATAAGAATTTTAGAATCAGGTTATTACTTTCTTTAAAAAAACATACTGAGAAATTTTTATAAAGACTGCATTAAATATATAGATCAATTTGGGGAGCGTTGAATTTTTAACAATGTCAAGCATTCTGATTCATGAACATGGAATATCCTCTTATTTAGGTCTGAAGGTTTATGCTTTTTTAAATTAAACTTATTCCTAAGTAGTTTGTTGTTTTTACTATTATAAAGTTGTTTAATTTCATTTTCAGCTTGTTCATTTCAATTATTTAAAAATACAACTGATGTCTTGAATGTTGATCTTATATTCTGAAAGCTTGCTGAAATAGTTCTTATAGTTCAAGTAGTTTTAGGGGATTCCTTATAATTTTCTTTATACATCATCACGGCATATGCAAACAGAGGTCGTTTCACATTTGGTTGTCTTGTATTTTCTTATTTAACACATTAAATAAGGTTTTCTTATACAGAATTGTCTTGAATTTCTTTTTCTAGCCTCCTTTTTGTGGTCATTATCTTTTATGCTGCAGTCTTTCTTCAAATGCCTAGAGATCTGGCTATTGGTTCTGATTAAGAGTCAGGATTTAAAGCTCAGTACAGACTTCATCAAGGGTGATGTAGTAGTGAGACAGCGTTTTTCATGGTGGAATCTCTCAGTTCTCTGAGACTTTTTAGGTCTTTTCTCTGTGCCCATTTAGTTTCTCCAGAGTTGCCTTCTAATTTTGTCAGAAAACATATCTACAGTTAATGATATTTGAAAATAAGGTAAGAAAAAGGAGGCTGAGACAGCATCTTTCAATGTGTAGACTTTCACACAGTCCTTGGTTATCAGAGCTCTGGGACATAAGGAGGACTACACAGCAGACAGATCAAAAATAAGTATGCACATTCCTGTTTAATCATTTACTGATCACACAGTATAGCTATCTTTTGCTGGCCAAGTATTCCTGAATCTAGAAATCTCCAATTTCTAAAAAAGTAAGTTTCCATTTAATTTTGGGAATACAGGTAGAATAGCTTGAGTCTATGTGGAATGGAGGATCAGGCCTAAAGTTTTAAAACTCCTTTCAATAGTTTTTCTAATATATAAACAAAGTTTTTTTCTACTAATGTAGATTATTCATCATGAAATTAAAATGTAATGTCAAAGAACCTTCTAAAAATGGACCTTCAATTCCTCAAAGATATATTAGTCAAGATGAACTGATGATAAGTTTTAACATTTAGTCCCATGCAGACAATTTTGATAAAAAGCCATTAATATCAATCTATTACTCCAAGAGTAAGTTTTAAGGAAGAAAAAGGATGAAAATGAGAAACAAGAAACTCCGGAGAACAGAGAATCAGGACATTTTAGCATCTATAAAGGAATAATGATTTCTAAGATAGGAAATCATTTCTATGCATGTAAAATCTTAAAAATACAACATATAGAACACATACAAGACCCTGGATTCAACCCTCAGTACCACAAAACAAAAAAAAAACCCAATGTATAAATGTACTATCACTATAGATCTTATTTCATTTTCTTATATAATTTCAGCAAAAGTAAAGGTACAATTAGATTAATTTTTCCACAAATGCCCTTTTGTACTTAAAAATTGAATATGTCACAAGATTAGCACTGACTGTAATTGATACTAATGAATAATTCAGAATTTTTACTAGTCAATATAAATAGGGTAATAATTAACAAACCAGTATGTGATCATGCTGCTCTTGGGCCTATAACAATCATATTGTGAAATGGGGATATTTCAAAAGTTTTTATAATTACAACAATTTTTCAATAGCAATTTGTCAAGTAGAGAAAACACTGTATTAAACAGAAAGTTAAGGTCAAGTTCCCTAAAAACATCTCTCTCCTAAGGGGAAAAAACTTTGGCACTTTAAAACTGATTTTGTTAATACTGTTGAAGTAAATGAGCTAATGATTGGAATTTGGAATGAGCATTTGTTACACAGTAGCCAAAGTTATATAACATCAGAAAATGTATTTTACCTACAATATTTTTCTCTGAAGATATTTTATATATTTCTTATATAATGAGTTGTTAATGTCAGAAAGTATACTTTATCCAGTTGAGAGGGGAAATACATTACTTACACTTTTCTTTATTGCCATTGGTATTGTGTAAGAAGTCACCATCAGAACGTGTTGTAGGAAAGTCATCTTCATCATCTTCTACCACTAAATAAAATACATTTAAGAATATTAGAATGAAAAAAGGGAATCAGTTTATTATGTTCAACTGAGTCAATACCTTTCAGTGTAAGATCTTAGTTATCTTTTCTACTTTCACTAGATACCAAGGTATGCTCACTAAACATAATTAAGTAAGATATTATTTTGCCAGGCACAGGGGCACATAATCCCAGTACTTGGGAGGCTGAGGCAGGAGGACTGCTGTGAGTTCCAGGCTAGCTTGGGCTACATAGTGAGTTCAAAGGCCCACCCGAACTATACAAGACCTTGTCTCAAAAAAAAGAGACTATTTTAACTATCCCTTATTTGTGTAAGAGATGGCTATTAAGTCATATTTTTCCCGTAGTTTTCCTATCCCAATATACCATGCGGCCATCTTACTCTCTGAGAGGACTAAAAGTGCTGAGCAGTGCTATAAAAGGCTATCTACATGAAGAAGGTACCACAGCTAGGCTCTGAATGTTTTAAACCTGAAATGTGAAGGAAAATAGAGCTATTTCCAGATATAATATTTTCATTCATCCTACTAGGTATCTATGCTTAGAAATCCTTTTTTAACATCTCCAAGTCCAGAAAAAAAAATTCTTAAAATAAACTAAAAATAGAATTTCTTGTTTTCCTCATGGGTACTATTCTATTATTCCTTTTCCTACATATTGTACTTTGATTCCCCTCCTATATATACACCATTCATAGTGCATTTTTTTTTTTTTTTCTTCAGAACCGGGGATTGAACTCAGGCCCTTGCACTTGCCAGGGAAGCGCTTATTCCACTGAGCCATCTCCCCAGCCCCCATAGTGCATATTTTTGAACCTCAACCCCCAATCTATTTTCTGCTTTCATCAAATATTTTGTGGATTATTTTATAGGCTGAGTACTTATCATCTGAATATATGAAATCTCAAATGCTGTGATTTTCCAAAATTTGAGTGCTGACATGATACATGGAAAGTAACACACCTGCCATCAGGCACACACAAAATATTGTATAAAAATAACCTCCAGTTTACATGTACTCAATGTATATGAAATATAAATAGATTCTGTGTTTATGCTTGGGTCAACTGCAAAGAGATCTCATATGGAAAATATTCCAAAACCCAAAAAAAGTCAAAATCTTAAATAATTTTAATCCCACTATGTTGGATAAAGAATTTCAAGCTGTGTAACTTTTGAAGGACTCCGCAGAAGAATCTTCAGTCTAACCTCACAAGCAGTGCTATACTTCTTTATCTCAGGAGTACTCTAGCTCTATACGGAGAACCACACTTTTTACCCATTCCCTTTGGATGCAGAACACAAGTGAATACCTTATTTCCTGCCTTGAATAAATGGTAGGAATCATCATGAATATTTCTAATTACTAAACTACTCTTTCACTGTTTAAAAATTTTGCTACTCATTTATACTGAATTTTTCTAATTGTAATCTATTATTACTAATATCTTATATTCATTTCTACACAGCTGAATGACATCACCACCATTCTTACAGACTGTAATACCTATAATGAAACCTCTGAACATACCTTAGTTCCAAGATTAATTACTTTCCCGGATTCTATGGATCTTTATCTCCTTTATCACTGGTACATTCTAAGGAATCCATTAGCATAGTGTTTTTAAGTCAGTGTATATTATTAGACAAGATCCTGGCCTTAATATTTCCTGGTTAACTGCTTTTAAATGCTACTTAATGGCTTGTATTTCACTTACAAATACAAGCTAACTCTATGGAGCTAACTCTATGGTTAGCTCCTCCTATATTTTTATCATTCATGAGTCATAGTCTTAATTTTGTTTTCTCCAAGCAAACCTAAAAAGTACACATTCTAGGATCACACCTCAACTAAACCTTCAACTCAACCTGGATCTAAACACAATTTTAGAGCTGCCAGGTAAGGCTTTATGAACACAGAACCACTCCACTTAACACACATACACTTGTTCATTTCTCACATGTCACTTCAGAGAAAACAAATTTGAAAATATTACTACTACTGGGAGGAATCTATGTATCTGTTTTTCCCCACCTAAGAGATGGGGTCTGGCTATATTGCTCATACTAGCATAGAACCCCTAGACTCAAGTGATCCTCCTGTCTAAGCCTCTTGTGTAGCTAGGACTACAGATAAATACTATTGCACCCAGCTAAGAAGGGATGTCTAACAATGTCATCTGGGGAGTCTTTAATAGTATGAAAAACACATTGCTCAAATCTTTTAAGTTCTAGATTGGGCCTAGACAAGTAAATGAAACTTTTTTTTTTACATTTATTTTCCTTATATTTTTGTATTCAATTAAATGCCATGTCGGCCAATTGAAATTATAATGCAACTATTCCTAAATTAGTTCCCTGATCTTAAACCCATGTAGACAACTTTCACATACCATTTATTTTACGATCCTTATTTGACTTCTCAGGTTTTTGTACGTATCCTTACTTTCTTGCATCTCATCAATGAAAAGTTAATGCTGCCTTTTATCATCCTCCCATTTTTACCTTTATCTTTCCTACAATAGATATTCCATATCACATAATAGTTGTTCTAGGCTTTATGCAGTCTCACAAATTACAGGATATATCCTTGAAAAATTCAGAAGTCCTCTAATATTTCTTTTTCTGCTGCATTTTCCTTCTGTCTTCAGAGGCTTATAAGGCTGGCTTCTATTTCTTTATAGCTTTTTTAAAAAAATGTATTTAATACAGGGTCTACAGGGTCTCACTACACAGATCAGACTCAGGTGCTCCTCCTGTTTTCAGCTTCCCAAGCACTGGGATTACAGGAGCGCGCCACCACACTCAGTATGGCTGGCTTCTATTTCTACTAGAAAGTTACTTACATTCATCTAGGAATTCTCCTTCATATTTCTCAATATCCTGTTTTAGTAGGATTAAGCGAAAAGTCATGATAAATTACTCCCCTTCACTATAATCTTTGTACCTAAAGACACAAACTTTTTCAATGGTAGGCTCTCTTTTCATGCAAGCTGTATTTATAGATCATCTCCATCTTTTGCTTTACTTTTTAGACACTGCTTACACTTCAGTAAAATTTCTACTTGCCAAGACTTTTCATGGGTTGCTCATCTTTCTATCCAGTTATCTATTTTATTTCAAAAATCAAATTCCTATTGTTCCTTATTCTTCAAGTCTCCTTCCTTAGATATTTGCCCTTCTATCGCATGAGAATTTAACTGTTAAGACTTCAACCTTTTCAATCTGAGTGTGGGCATGCATGCCTATAATCCCGGCACTTGGAAGGCTGAAGCACGAAGAATGCTGAGAGTTCAATACCAGCTTGGCTACAGAGTGAGTTGAAGACCAAACTGAACTGCACAGTGAAACGCTATTTCAAACACACACACACACACACACACACACACACACACACACACTTCAACATTTAAAAAATGCTAATACCAATCTAATTATTTCCTATAGAATGTTCCCAAAGGAATGTATACTATCAAGACTCAACATATTTCAAAATAGCTCAATAAACAGACTAGCTATGCAAACAATGCCACCTCATTTCTCTCTATGCACTTCTCACATCTGTAAAAAGGGATTAATGTAAAATTATAAATGATTCATTATATTCAGCCTACTGTAAAATTATAAATGATTCGTTTAAAATATTTAACATTATTAATAGTAAATACTAAAAAACAGTATAAAAATTAATCACTGTGACATTCCCCATTATGGTTTATATCTTATGTCCTTTCATGCACACAAAAGTGGGGCTTGAGGAAGTGACTAGATCATGGAGGCGTGATACTTATCAGAGAACTAATTCAGGAGTTTATAGTTAGAAGTGATGTGGGAAGGTCAAGCCTGGTAAGATTTAAAACACTGAAAGGTAAGCAGAAATTCAGGTGGCTTTATTATCATTCCAATTTGCTACAATCACTTACAATGCTTACTCTTTTAAAAACATTTAATCTCTGTACCTAAAATAGCAAGTAATTTTTCAAATTACTAATATGAAAACTAACTTTTTTTGATTAACCTCAATTGTTCCTGGGTTCAGTATTCTTTACCTAGTAGCCTACTAGCACAAACATGGATTTTTCACAACCCCACTGTCACAGTTACTCTTCTCTCATTGCTGGGACAAATACCCGACACTCAAAATGAAGGAGGGAAAGGTTTACTTAGCTCACAGTTACTGGAGGTTTCAGTCCACACTCATCTGGCTCTGAAGGCAGACTGGCACATGGCAGAGGGCAACCTTTCATGGTGGCAAAGAGCACAGAGCAAAGGAAGAGTAGCAGCAACAATGGCTACAGAAAGCAAGTCTGTCTCCCTTAAGTTGTATTTCAGGCTATCCACTCCAGGCTGGGTGTAGCACTCACACCCATAATCCCAGCAGCACTTACACCTATGATCCCAATGGATCATGAGTTAATCACAAACTCTAGAGGTCTACCCCATGACTGCATGAGGCTTTGGGGGGATACCTATACATAAATCCTATGCATAAATCTATGTATGTGATCTATACATAAATCCCCCTTAGAACTGGGCCTTCATACTGAGCTATATCCAGCTCTTTATCATTTGTGCTGACAGAGGGACTGCTACATTGCTCAGGCTCAGCTCAGACTTGTGATCTTCCACCTTAGCCTCTCAGTGTACTGAGATTATAGTATGTGTTGTAGGCAACTGATTTGGACAGAAATATTACAGTCAGATACATCAATGGATTAGCATGGAAGATGAGATACCTTGTAACTGTGGGAAAGATAGGTATTTCCACTGTGGGTCAGACCTCAACATAAAAGATGAAACAAAGGCAGCCACATACCTCCCTAAGAATGGACATCAGGGACTGATATTCTAAACAGGTATCAATCACCTTGAAAAAGCCAGGAAGAGCCACTAACCTAACCCCCACCCCCACCCCAGACAGGAAAGCTCCTGTTCTGTATTCATGCCCACTTGCTATGTGACTTGCTTCCCCATTTGATCCTGATTTAATCAATTTTATCTAAGCAATTATACCACAGTTTTGTCTCACCTCATGCATACCTGATTTCCCATTTTCCCTCACCTTGGACCCACCTGCCCTTGTGGTTTTGCTGTATAAAAATCCCTAAAAATAGCAAGTTCCTTGGCAACCTATCCGAATCCCCTTCTGTCTCTCTGGGACAGAAGCCATCTTTGTTTCTTTCTTTCTCTTTCCTTCTTCCTTCTTTTTTCTATATTTATTACCTTGTCTGCTCTTACCTCTCACTGTTCCTAAAATTCATTCTTCAATTTTAGAAAACATGAACTCATCCCAGATACCTAGCATGCTGGGAGTTTCTTCTCCCCTACACCACCATCATGCCTCCTTTCATTTTTTATATGTTCAATACTCAGTGCTGCAAAACTGATGAAAACAAGAGTTATGGCTAACATAGTAGCAACAAAGCATTCCTCATCAGTCACTGAGGAACCTTTAACATACTCTGAGGGATAGCTGACATTGTTTGAAACCATGTTCTAATACAAATCTTCCCTCTCAATCTCCTTCACCAAGACTCAGATCTGTTCTGCTAAATCTGATCTTTGGAAATTACACATTCCTGCCTTTTTTGTTACTGCAACAACTCAAACTTAATCACATCAATAATAGCTATTGCTTATTAAGTTTTTGCTGTTAAATAGTGATAAATGCATATTCTTATTTAATTTTCACAAAACCATGTGCTCAATATAATATTAACTGTACAGTTGAAAGTTATCTATCTCAAATTACTAAATTAGTTATAAATAGAAGAGCAAGACTAGAAGAACTTTAACTTTAATGTGGTATATATGTCTTGCTTTTTAAATCAAACAAGGTAATAGGCAATTTTACTTTTGTAAGCACTAAAAAAAAAGAGTATCAAGACCTACAAGACTAACCTCTACTTTCTTATAACTTTCGTCCTTCAAATACTGTAACACCATTAGCAATATTCAAATACCTGTAACACTACTGTAACATTATTGGATCATTTAAAGATAAAATCCATTTCTATATGCATCATATTTTTGTTTAAAGGGCTAATTTTCAAGAAATTTAATGTAAACTGTTTAATCTGATAAAAAAGGTATTCAGTTCAGTTGAATTTACTTTTATTATTATCTTATTTATATTTATTTTAAGACAAAGTGATACTATGCAGGTCAGGCTGGCTTTGTGCTCATTATGTATATCCCAGGCTGGTCTTTAATTTGGAAAAAAATTAAGTATGTTAAGAGGATTTTTTGTTTCTGAGCAAGGATAACAGGAACTGAATTTAACTCTAATATAGATTTAATCTGCCTGTAATCCCAGCGCTGGGGAGGCAGAGACAGGAGGACTACTGGGAGCTCAAGGCCAGCCTAGGCTACAAAGAGAGTTTAAGGCCAAAGTGAACTGCACAGTGAAACCCCATTTTAAAAGACAAAACCCAACCCAACAAAAACAAACAAGCAAAAAAACCAGTATCTATCTATCTATCTATCTATCTATGAAACTTGACAAAACATTTTAAGACAACGATTTTCAAGAAACTAGAGTAGCAGGTAAAAAAGGCAGTAATCCCTCAAGAGTTGGAAAATAAATGGTTTGAGTGTAACGACTGCTCTAGCTCCCTGCCTTGGGAGTTTCCAAACTGTATAAAAAGGATAGAGAGCCCAAGTGAAGATCAGATAAGAAGACAGACCTAAGAATCCAATTGACAAAGGCAAACAGAATTCACAAAGAGAGCACTTCATTACTGTTTTCTTCCTTTATGAGAAAAAGGGTGTTTGGAAAGGGATGGGGACGAAGAAAGATCGAGACAGGCAGGCAGAAAGACAAAGACAGTGAAAGAAAGGAGAAAGAACAGTGGGAGAAAAGATGGAGGAAAAAAGATATCTATAAACTGATTCCAGATCTGGAGAACTGAATAAAGCTGTCTTTTCTCATCATAATGTGAGATGTTTTGTATTCTCAAGATATCAGATATCATTTAAAAAAAAATTTATTGAGAAACAAGATATCATTTTTTTTAAGGGAATAAAATGTGTCTCTTAGAAGTCTCAGTGGCATCTGGTATGGATGATCAAAAATGAATTAGTATGTTATTAAAATACTGAAGTTACATGGACTCCAAATTCTGTTATGCTAAGAGTTTGAAGCAAAAGTAACTACAATTATCTTTATTACTTAAAGACAGTAACTATTAAGATCAAGAAGCTTTAAATCCATTCATTCTCTAAGAAAAATAGTGACAATAGCCTAATTAACCTTTATCCCTTTGAAGTTCATCCTTGGAGACAGCATCAGCACAGACATCAAAGTACTTCTGGAGAGTATCGACTTGTCTACATAGGATGTCTCTAAAGGTTTCCATTTCAGCCAATTTCTCACGTAAACTGTGGCCTTTCTACAAAACACAAAATGTGAAACAAAACTGTACTTTATTTTATCGCATGTTATTTTATCTCCTTTTAAGGTCTGCAACTCAACACTGAGGGAATTGGGTAAAGAAATTAGTTCAAGTTAATAGTATCAAGAACAGGTTTAAAAGTGACAAAATGATTAGTCTAGCAGCTTGACAGCTACAAACTCGTGGGAAATAAGAGAGAATAATGCCTGACAATTTACTAAAACAACATTTAAAATTTCAAATTAGACACTAGGAGGAGAAACTGATTTTGAAATGGCAGGAATTATAAGGATATACTTTCATGGTGTTGGCAAGTATCATCTTGGGTGCCATCAGGAGGAGGTGTATCTGATATGTTTCTGCCTTTCATTTTATCTGAGTTATTTTACAATTCTTTTAATAAAAAACAAAGTGATTCTTGTAAGCAGAATACATACGAACTTTGCCCTATGCAGATGCAGTTTACTAACCTGTGAATACTCATCAGTTTTGCATTAGCAAATTCATTTCAGTAGTCAGATTCTCCTTTGAGTCATATTTAATTATCTTTATTAATGAATAAAATAAAATCTGATATACTTTATATTTATATGAGCATGATTTTTACCTCTTAAAATAGTCTATTAACAAATTCAAGTAAGTCAGACTATATGAAAATTCTTTCAAAACCCATCAGGTAAGTTCTGTGTAGTCTCCAAGACTCAATTCAAATTATGTTGCTTTCACTTTAAGCATTTATGATCACGAACCTTGAATGAGGAGGTGGATGTTGCAGAATAGCCACTTGCTCCAGACACCAGTGATACCATTGAGCCATGCCGACGCAAGCTGGATTCTGATCCATATCCTGATTCAGTCTAAAAAGAAAATAAGCTATGTGAAGAAAAATTTAAATGAGAAAAAAAAGAAAATCATAACAATAATTAGCAGCTTGGGTTCACAAACGAAATACTGCAAGAGCTGATATAAGCAATGCCTTTTAATTCCTAACTGTCCTTTATTTAGATATTGAATACTTACTGTGTGCTACACTAGTAGGTTATAGTAATAGGAAAACTATCTAAACCAGCCAAATTCATAGAAATAGAAAACAGAGCAGTGCTTACCAGAGGCTAGGGGAAGAACAGTGATTCAATATTTAAGGGTACAACAGAATTTCAGCTGGCAAGGATGAAAAAACTATGATGATACAGGGAGGTGAGAGCTAAATAGCAATGTTAAAATACTTAAAATCAGAGAACTGTACATTTTAACATGGTTACACTGCTAAATTTCACACATATAATATCAGATTTTTTTTTTGCTGCAAATGCCCTCAGGGGTGGTTTGGCTGGCTGGAGTGTTGTGGGGATCGAACTACAGCAACCTGAGGCTGACAGCTTTGTGGAAGCAGCCACTTAACTGAGCTAAGGCCAGGCCCCAATATCAGAATTTTAAAAATGAATAGGACAAGGCAAAAAAAATATTAAGACGCTTCTAGGACTACTTCTTTATAAATGAGTCACTAACTGTGACACACTAACATATTTCACTGACCCACGAAGCTTTCCCTAGTACACCAGTTTGTCATTGCATTTCCCTTTTTTTTTGTTTTCGGCTTTTGTATTTTAGGGAAGGGTCTACAGTATGTTTAGGGTCTCACTACTATATTGGACTCCTAGTCAGCCTCCCAAGAGCTGGGATTACAGGTGTGCGCCACCACGCCCAGTCTCAATCCCCATCTCAGGGAGCCCCGGGGGGTGGGGCTGGCACAGCAGGCTCAGGGATCAAATCCCCAGCCCCTGAACCTGCTTGCAGGTGCTTTAATCCGCTGAGCTATTTGGCTGGCCCCCTCCCTCTTTTTTTTTGTTGTTTACTCCCATGTTTTTTCCTTTTGTTAATCCCTGTATGCAATGCATAATAACTACATTCCTCATAGTGAGCTGGTAAATGTACATGATATAACTCAATGTTTTTTTCATCCCTTTCTTCTCTTTCCTCTCACAATGATAGGAATTCTCACTGAATTATGAGTTTGTATTTTATAATTACTACTTGATTTAGATCTTTCTGGAAACTGAATGCTACCTTTTTCACTTCTGTAGGCACCCTAACAGCTTATAGGACAAAGAAAGTTCATTTTTACCAGTTAAACCATCACACTGGAAAGAAAATTGGAAAATTGGAACTCTGGGATACTGGGGTGCAGATACAACACAGATAATACAGTTATTTTTATTTCATTTTAATGGAATTGCTACTTCTCTGAACATCAATTTTATATTCCAGCTGCTGTAATACAAATGAAGTATTAATAATACAGACAAGAATATTTGAATAAAAGCAACTTCAAAGTAAGATTAAACTGAGGAATTTAAATCTCTACTGTTTAAAAACAAAGTGAATCAAATTCTTCTATAGATTTGACATAATGTTTCTGATGATTTGAAATAGGTATATTTAATAGCTTTTAATCATTGTAATGGAGTCTAGGTTTCTCAAACATTAAATTTTAAAAATATTAGAAATCAGTGCTGGAAACAAAAGACTAAAGACTAGTATGTATAACTATAGCTTTACTAAGTTTAAGAGGTAAAATAATATCTATTTTTGGTATCATATCAACACAAAAAAAAAGAAAAATTTGATAAAATACTAGAATAATAATGGTTAATATATTACATATTATTATCTTCTAAGTAGTTATTCAAAGTATAAGATATGGGCATAAAAAATTCTCAAAACCATACTATTATCATAAATCTTTATTTTCAATAAACAAAGAGAAACTAGTAGTATAACTTGCTTGCATATTTTTCCCCCTGCCCTTCCTTTTCTTTTCCCTCATTCTAGTTTCTCTTTCCTCTTGAACAATTTCCTCCCATTTTGCAACATCTATTATACATTTTTGTCCTTATTTTTTCAGTTTCTCACACCAAGGAGACAACACAATGTTTATATATAAGTATCACATTAATAGAAACACTTGGAAATTGTTTTAAGTTCCTTCATTAAGTATTAAAATTAGGAATCATTAAAATTGTACATGATATATTACAGAAAATATTTGCAATACTTTATATCTTTAGTACTCCAACTCCTAAAACCCATCTGTTTACCTATGACATTATTTTTTAATTTATTTGATACAGGGTCTTGCTATGCAGCTCAGACTCGTAGTGATCCTCCTGTCTCAGCCTCCTCAGTGCTGGGATTACAGGCATACACCGCCATATCTGCTTTTGGGGTTGGTGCTGCGCACCCAGGGTTCCAGGGCAGGCACAGCATGTGGTATGAAGGTATCAAGGATCGTACTTTGGGTTTTTCATATAAGAGAAATAAAATCATGTGCAATCTAAGTCCGTGTGTCTGTTTTATTTCACTTAACATTATGGACTCAAGGTGCATCTGTTTTCCTATAAATGACTCTAGTTTACCCTTTTTATAGCATAGTAGTACTCCATTGTGTCTAAATATCACAGAATCCTTTACACAGCCTGCCTTTCTCTGCTGACTCACAATTCAAGAGACCATGGTCACCATACAGTTTGGTTTCTGCTAAAAGTAAGTGCTCCAAAAATATTAAAAACTAGAACCATAGCTCATTTGAATACAAGGAAAAAAGAAAAAGAAATGCAAAAGAAAAGTGAAAAATAGGGGAAGAGAACAGAAATCACCAGTGGTAGTAATAGTGGCAAGAAAGGAGGAACAATGGCCTGAAGGTGAAAGTTAACAGCCTCAAACCTTGAGCAAACATGCCTCTTACTGCCAGCATCATCAAGAAAATAAGACTTGGCAAGGAAAAGAAAAGAGCAAAAGGAAAAGGGGAATGGAATGGAAAGAGGAAGCAAAAAGGAGCTTTAGGAATGACTTTAAAATTCAAACTTTTAGCACATACCAGTCACAAAATAAAAGACTCAAGGGTGCTGTGCTAGGTCCAACACCTAATGTGACTCTTCTTCGATCTCTTTCGACAGTGATGCTAACTTTCTAAGGGTAGCATTTGCACATTTTGCTTTATGAACTTAATAATGTTCTTTCATTGTATTTAAATACAGAAGACTGTAGTTATAAACAGGAAAAAATCTTTCTGTAATAGATGAATAATATAAAGAATTTCAAAATTAACTTAAGTATCTCAGATACCTGAGGTTTTCTTTTTTAAACAGAAATCAATCTGAATCAACTGAAATACAATTTCCTATAATTTAAAATCAGTATTTTATATTAAAAATAATTTTAATATTCAAACTTAACAATTTCTAACTTAAATCCAAATGAGTTTGTTCTCTCCATTTTTTAGTTCCTATCACTGAATCTGAAACAGAGCAAATCAAAACTGTTAATATTTGTTAAAAGTCTTGGAATAAAGTACAAACACTGAAAGCTTTACTGAAGATTTCTTTACTATTGAACTTAAAAAAAAATCTTTTATTTATTTGGTACAGGGTCTTGCTATGAAGCTCAGATTCATAGTGATCCTTCTGTCTCAGCTGGGATTATAGCATGCACCACCAAGCCTGGTTTCGAGGGCCAGCATGTGCGCCCAGGGTTCCCAGTCTGGCATGGCATTTGGTACTGGGGTTCAAACCCAGGTCCTTGCACCTGCCAGGCAGACACTCACACTGCCGAGCTATCTCCCCAGTCCTTCTCTAAAGTTCTTATAGAACTGAGCAGTGAATCTATCAGGACATGAACTTTTTTTTGTCAGTAGGTTCAATCCTGAGACTGGAAAGGAAGGGGAAGGTGATGGGAGAGAAGGAGGAACGAAAGGAGGGAGGAAGTTAATTTAATCACAATTTCTAATTATTAATACAGCATCTTAGAACATAAAATTGGTAAAATTTATAATCTGGAATTCAAATATAGTTACCACAGAAGTATTTTTCATTTTTAAAACATCTGCATGAAGATTTTGCAAACTGTTTTGCAAAACAATTTTTCCAAATTTTAAGTAGTGTTTCTGAACATGTTTTCATAAACACAAAATGTCATTTTGGTCCAATTAAACCCTGACAGCATGCTACACAGAACATAGTTTACTTCTAAATATCACAACAGTGAGTCTATAACTTTATACTGTACTTAAATCACAACTTTCCATTTTAAAAAAAATGAAGGAAAGAAGGGAAGGAAGGGGAGGGAGGGAGAGAAGACAGGAGGAAAGGAGCAGAAGGAAGAAAAGGATCATTTGGCCAGTAGAGGGAGTGAGCGATACTTTCAATTGGTGTACTTGGAAAGCCTAATGAGGGTTACTATTGGTCAAAGTACAACAGTAACCTTTGGACTATTTCTGTACATATTATTCTGTATACCTTGTCATTTAAGAACATATAAAAGTATGGTAAATTAAGTTACAACAGTTCAAAGTTAAGAATAAAGTAGCTAAGAACAAATTCCTAAAAACTAATTCAAAAAGAAAACTTTCTTCAAGTTACAACTAAATCTCATAGCTCAATCATATAAAAGACACATACACCATTTTCCATCATCTTTTGCTTTCTGTATCCCAAAAGAAGCAGTGTAAATGAACAAAAAGTTTGGCTTTTTAGTTTTCTAAATATCGCCTTTGTTTTAAAAAACTAATTTTTTCTGAATAACAATCTCTAGCAAAAAATTGCAATACTTTCAGACAGAAACCACATCATGTTTAAAAAATTACCTATTATTAGAGTGATAGTTCTTTCCTACCCGAAGTTCACTACTTCCATTTTAATTATGGGAAGAGAAAACTACAAGATTAGATATCAAGAGCAATGGCAGATTTTTTTTTTGAAATTTAACTCTGAAATCTGTAACAAAACAAGCATGCTGTCTGTGTGCACCCATTCATCTACTTTTGACATTATTTCAAGGCAAACCATATTGGAAGCATGAT